AACTTGGACCAAATTGGGAAGGGCCATACCGAGTAAAGAGAGCGCTCGGGGGGGCATACGAGCTCGAAACTTTAGAGGGCAAACAAGTACCCCGAGTGTGGAACGTCGTTAACTTGAGACGATACTATCTATAGATCAACAAGCGAAGTGGACTAAGTCACTACCAGAGCCTTAAGGCTAGAATGACGAGTTAACAAGGACCTCGGCATAGGCAAGCGAGGGCAAAACAGGCCGCACGAGTGCAGTAACCCGGGCAAAACAGATCGGGCATATGGCTAGTTCGGCAAATACGGTTAGTTCGGGAGAGAGAGCGACCAACACTTAACCCAAAGAAAGTCATTCCATTGCAAAATAAGGGAGTGTACATTTCCAAAATATATATATACAATATCGAGCTCACAGGCCCGGAGGTACTTCTTCACCATCAGAAAGCACTTCAATGATACCCGAAGGTCCTGCCTCATCCTCAGAGTCCGGTTCACCTTCTGCAGCGTTGGCCATCTCCTGAGTAATGCGCGAAGTGGTTATAGCGCTAATATTGAGCTCGGGGTACGTATTCCGGATCATCCACCAGATTAGTTTAAAGCCCATTCTGTACGAGCCCACCATCAGGTCATCAAAACGCGACGAGGCGATATATTCATCGACGACCTTCTTCTTGGCATCCTCGATACCTTGAGAAAATATCTATGTCCTCTCCCTAATATCCTTTTGAAGGTATTCAACCTGATGCTGCAAATCCAGCCTCAGGTCCGCCATATGCTTCACCACAACTTCCATGGCCTCGGTATCTCTCTGGGACCTCGCCAGCCTAGCCTGTGCAGCGCGAGAAGCCGCCTCAGCAGCTCAAGAAACCTTCTTGGCAGCACGGGAAGCCTCTTCGGCAGCTCGCGCCTGCCTCGAGCTTCTTTCCACTTGGGCCGCCAGGGCATGGATAGAAGAATTCACCTACCAAAAGGAAAAATAACAAATGATCAAAAGAGCGATAGCAAGAAGGATAAAAGCAAAGAGCCCAACAAGAAATCGCTGACTTACCACCATGGCATGAGTGGCAGCACGACAAGCTACCTGGTTCAAAGGAAGCTCGGTCCATGTCGCGACCTCCTCAGGATAAATGGCCTTCCTACTCTTCTGAAGAGCGTGGTTCGGCGACAACACGCTCCTGAACTCGCCTTGGGCTCCCGAGCCTGAAGGCCCAGCTCGCGTATAAGCAGACTCAGAGTAAGCGGGAGCCCCCATGTAAGTAACATCGGCATAAGGGGCCCCTACCGCTTCTTGTACTGGAGGGGCCATCTCGGGCTCCCTGGGCGGATCCACTGACGGATAGTCTGGCACCTCGGGGCAGCTCCGCACGAGTTCGTTTGGCGACTCACTTCCTCCTCTTCATGACGTGAAACATGTTCCCACCACGAGTCTTCTCTGAGTCCATCACACCTACAAAAAGTGCTTGGCATCAAGAAAATGAAAGAACAGAGCAAAACAAAAGACAAGCCTCTGAGTAAGGAACCTACCTGAACTCAGACCGGCCTCGATGAGCTTGGCCTCCATCAGATAATGGTGGCATTTTAGCCCAAGTTGTGCCCATTCCCGGAGGCCCTTCGCCGTCTCCTTATCAAGCGTAACACCGGCATCAGGGGCAGCCATCCCCCACCCGGTTTGGNGCGTAACACCGGCATCAGGGGCAGCCATCCCCCACCCGGTTTGGAACGGCCACCCCAATGCACTTCGCACCCCGAAGTAGTCTCGTTTCCACGCCATGACCTTGTTGGGAAGATCGTGTAAAAGCTTAAAACTCGGGCAAGGGGATAGGTAATACGCCCGCCTACGCCCGGGAAGGGGATCCGCTTGCTTCTTAATCATTAGAATGGAAGAGAAGATCTCCAGGTCTAAAGGCAAGATCTGTTCGCAAAATAGGGAGATTGTCCCCACCAACGAGCTGCTCCCGGAATATCACGATTTCATCAGGACCGTGTTCCCAAGGGAAACTGCCCGAGGGTATAAAGTAGGTGTACTCCTTAGGCAAGTTGAACTGGGTAATAAGGGAGTGAAGCCCCGCAGGCATCATGGTCGAGGTCCCAAACTTGTCTAACGTTCGACCTCGACGAAAGGAGGACGCCAAACTACCCGAGGCGACTCGGCCTATGGGTTCAAACTCTTCCTCGAGCTCTACCTCGGGTTCACTAGGACTGTCGGGGGATGCAGCTTGGTTCGTAGAACCTGCATCTGACCCCCTTGAAGAACTGTCTAAGCTATTCGAGCTAGACATCAGGAGGAGAAGGATTCCAGGAAAGTACTCATCCGGAAAAAGCAAACGGACTACGAGAACTTGAACGCGAGCTGAAACTTGGATGCGAGCTCAAGAAGCAAAACGCAGGAGAATGACAAAGCGACTGGGGTCCCCCACTATTTATACCCACAGTAACCGAAAATCAACGGTTCTGATCAAAGCAAATCCAATGGCTCGCAGTCACGCTGACCGCACGTCTCCTGAGACCGAGATGTGACTGGCCGCACGTCTTTTGAAACTGAAAGAGCGCCAGCGCACGTCTCCTCGCATTAAAGGCGGCAGCGACGCGTTTTTTCAAATTCGAAAAGGCGCCCGCTGTCATGTCTCCCAACGGCGCGTTTTTTAAATTTTGAATTAAACGCGCGCTATCACGTCTGTTGGCATTTATAGACGGATTGACGCGTTTCCCGACTTTTTGGTGCTCGAGAAGCCCAGAAAAATCCTGACGAACGCGCACTTCGCGCTATCAGTCAAACCAGTTCGAAGTACGGGTCAAATCCACCCGCCACCTCGCGAACTCCCCGCGCCAGGGCAAGTCTCTTTGCACGAGGAGTGGGGGGCAATTGATGAAGGAAGATTTGGCCCGACCTCGTAACCACTCAACAC